CAGCAGGAAGGCTTGGGGTTCCTTTGTCTCTCAGCTCCTCTTCTTCCTCCCCCTTCTCTCTCCTGGAGAACTCATGGTTAATTAATTCTCCTCAGTGCGCTCTCTCTCTCTCTCTCTCTCTCTCTCTCTCTCTCTCTTCTGTGTGCTCAGCTCATTCCCCTCCTTCCAGCTGAGTCTTGTAAAATTTCTTGGCCTTGCCTGGCTTGTCAGAATTTGTCCTGGCCACCCAGACCAATGCGCTGTCTTATTGTTTGGGGGGCATTTGACCATTCCTGTCCCCTTGACTGAGCAGGAGCACAGTGCAGTGCTCCCAAGACACTGCCCTCTGCCAGCCTAAGCTGCATTGGCTCTGTCCTCCATTTTACTCTGAGGTGGCTTGTTGCTATGGTGACTAAGCAGCTCCTCACCCTTCCCTCCTGTTGCTGCAGCCAGATCCTGCCCCATCCTCTCTGCCTCACAACCAGACTAGGTGCGACAGTGTCCTGATGGCCATCATGCGGATGCTGCCGCCATTTTAAAATCATTAGAAAATGTAGCACTCTTGTCCCACCCCGTTTTCAAGTGCTGAAACAGGTGTGTGTGTGGGGGGGGGGGGGGGGGTGAGGCCATTTCTGCACTTGATAAGGCACAGGAGGAGGGAATACAAAAGCATCTCAGCCCCCCATGCTGCAGGCCCAATCAGGATCGTGTCCTCACTGTATTTCAGTGGCTTAAAAATGGCGGCCGGATCTTCATGGCAGCCGTGAGGACCCTCTAGTCACCTCTAGTTTGGCCCTCAGTTACCACTTCTGTTGAGAGTGTGAAGTGCATCCCATGCATATGTACAGTGACCTTTTGCCCTCTAAAACCATCACACCCATTAAAAATCCCTTCCAACCAGGGTCAGAAGAAGATAAATTCATTTTGAATGCGGAGTGCTCTCTACCTGACCCCGTGTTTATATAATGTTTTTACCGGGGGTTCCAGGTTCCTAGTTTAGGATCTGCCTCCACATGGTCTTTATTTCATTTGTGGTAGTTTTGGCTGTTGCAAGCATGTGTCTCTAGAGAGCTCTGGGATGCCTAGATTTTTGTTTTAAGTCGCACAGTGGAAAGGAGAATACGATTGGCATCAGTTTCCCCTGAAGCTGCCCCCCCCCCCCCCTACGATCGTCAGGGCGGGGTATGCTACAGAATTTCTTAACCCCCCCCCCCCCCCCCCCATCTCCCATTAATAGTTAAAAGGCTGGAATCCTTGGCTAGATGGAATCCAGCAACTCTTTGACAACCTCCAAGGCCATGTAACAATTGCCCTGAAGAGAGAATTTCGGATGGTGCAGCTTCTCCTTCCTTGTAGCAGCCCCAAAATCTTATTCCATTCTGCACTCCTCTTACTCCCACCTGCAGGCTTCCAGCTAACATTTTAGCCAATCCAGCAAAAGAGAGAAGAAAGGGGAAAAGGGGAGATGTGCCCAGAGGGGATGGCTTAGCCAATATGATAAAGTTGTGGTTGCCAAACTCTTTTTGGAGTTGTGACAACCTATTGTGGTTTGTTTGTGTGACCTCCTCCTTAGTTCTGAATATAATAAATAACATCAAAAATTATTGCTAGTGTTAAAAAAATGCTTTTCAAACACATTTAACTCAGTTAGGAACATCCACCATTAGCGTAGAATTGTGCTTGAAATCACAGTATGCAGACTTAATAGAGCTCCACTCCGTTCCTACAGCTCATAACTTTGTCGGCTCATCTTAAACTGACCGATGGAAAGGGGGCCATGGCAGAGGTTTACAGTGGGATATAGTTCTTCCCTAGAAGGTCTCAAGGACAAAGTTGGAATAAGGTAGAGAGGCTGAGATGGGTATGTCAGTGGGGTCACCATTGGGTGTGCATTCTGGCAAACAAATGCTGGCAAGTCCAGCCACTGTCACCCAACTCACAAACTAAGGCTTTTCTGCTCTGTTATGTAACCTGTTTGCTGAGTCAGCTGTCAGAGCAGGACTGAAGTGAGAAGGACCTTTAGCAGTTAGAGAAAGTGGTCTGAAAATTGTGTATGCAACTCCAGAACACCCAGGCACAGGTCTGGCGTCAGCATACCCTGCGCGTGGGGCTGTTCCCAGGGCCAAGGGCTTATGGCGGTGCACACCGCTGCTGCCCCCCCCCCATTTATGAACCTTCCCTGCCACCTGCCCTTCCCCACCAATATGTGAGTGCCCCACCTCTCCTGCTCCCAACTCCCTGTGCCACCCAACATCATTTGGCAAGAGCATGCCAGTGGTGCATGGCAATAGTGCTTCTGGCTGTCACAGCACCAGCATCCATAGCCACACACACTGCCCAGCTTTGGTATGCAAAGGGTGCTCAGGTAGTGCGGGTGGCTGGAGGGCTCGTGAGCAGGGGAAGGACACATAGACAGGTGGGGTGGTGCATGGGTGGGTGGGCAGGAAGGGAGGCATGAGCAAAGGGGCTGATCATAGCCTGGGGCCTCTAAAACCTCAATCTGACTCTGCCCAGGCACCTACACTAAAAAGGGATAAGACAAAAGAAACATTATCCCTCTTGGCCAAACCACCATAGGATCCCTGACTGGATAACCTGCTTGCTGAGGAGCAGTTTGGAGTCTGGGTATGATGCTAATTGTGTGTCTGTTGCCCCAAAACATCTGGGCCTCCCTTCTGTGACATCTGGTGCTTTGTAATGTGTGTCATGGCACCACAGTGCCCCATGTTTTTTACCCACGAGTGGCAGCAAATGACATGGCTTGGGGAGACATAAGATGTCATGATGTCATGGCAGAGGGTAAGCGGTGGAAACCATTACATCTGCTGTTTTGGACAGCAGGTGCTGATTTGGGGCTCAGAATCAAATGAGATACTATGCTTGAGGGTTAGATGTAGGTTAGCATAACTCCACAAGAGTTGACTTATATAAGATGACCGTAGTGTGGGCTTTCTCTGTCCGAAGGTGTCCCCCCCCCCCAGAATCCAGTCCCGCTATCAGGCTAGAGCAGTGCTCCCTGCTTGCTGAATTGCAACCTGGACATTTGCATTCTACCTTTCAAAGAAAGAAGGACACAGAAACCAAACCAGTGCAGATTCAAACCAGTGCAGATTTTCCCACCCGTTTCTTCCCTGATCCTCTTGTATGGCCCCCTCTTCCTGCTGTGTGACACCCCCCCCCGAGAATACTTTATGTCAACCTTGCCCCATTTGTGTTGCAGCCACCCCACCACCCCATCCTTCACAAGCAAGAACTAATTTTCAGTCAAACGCAGGGGAGTCAGCATGGTTCAATTTGAACCAAGGCTTAGCATTATGGTATTTTTAAAAATGATCAATGACAGGAGTTTGACCCTGGAATGCGGGAAGTGATAAGGAGAGTGCCTCAGAGCATGTGCAAAGTGCCTTTCTCTCACCACTGTGCAACCCCAAACAACCATGCATACCCCAGGCTGTATGCAAACACACAACTGGGGCTAGATTGGAAAGGTTTCCAGGGCACAAAATTCCTACCAGTAGCATTTCTTTGAGCAAACATACCCTTATGTTTTCTTACGTTGGATGAAGGTGGGCAAAATTCCTCTGTCCCTCCCCATCCCGGATGTGGTTACTTTCAGAATATACCCATGCGCCTTCCATGGCTTGCGCCCAGCAGACTGGCCTGGGGTTGAGCAAGGAGTGATAAGAGAATTTGACAACAACCCTTGTTTCCTTGGGGATACCATGCCCTCTGTAAGTAACTTGCTGACTGGGCCATGCTGACGGCCAACAGGATCAGGGGAAAGATAATTTGTGGTGATCTTGAAGGGTGAAAATTGCAGTAATTTAATCTGTGACTATTATTTACACCATCCAAGTCTGAAAAATGATGCTGTGCATGTACTATTTTTATTTTTTTAATGGATTTGTGGTGTGCTGCAGTGATGGAAAGCCATGACTCAGAAATGCTTTTTGGTCACAGTGACATACAGATTTATGTGCAGCACCAATGTTGGGGGAGATTGGGCTTGCTGGGATCCTTCCGCACATGTTACATGTCTTGAATGGGTCATGACTGCCTTTATTGTACTGGAAATCTCACAAGCATCAGTGCTTGTAAAGGGGCACTGCTGACAGAGACCTTTTTTTTTTTTTTTGCAATAAGGTCAATCCACAGGGGGAGAGGTTTGCCTCTTGTACAGCGACTGCATGGTTTCCATTGCCACGTGAAAGTGATTACTCAACAGCAGCTATGATACCCATATAATATATGATGTGAACCCAAGAGAGGTGTCCTTGTGCCAAAACTGCAGCAAGCCCATGCCTGTAAGGGCCACCCTGATGCTTTTGGAGGGCTATATCTGAATCCAGAACTAAAACGTTTCTTTTTCTTCGATACAAAATCCATCGCTATGAAAATGTGGGCCTGAAGTGCAGCAGGTGCTGTTCTATTAACCCAGTAAGAGTCATAGTCCTAGATCCTGGTATATACCAGGCCTGACCAGTCCAGAGGCTTCATGCAGATGTTGTGTGTTCTGTGCCTGAAGATGGCTATGAGGCCTCAGCATTCACATTGTTCACAGGAATAAATTGCAGCCATGGTCCAGGAAGTCCTCTGCACAAGGGCCTAGAAACACCTCGGAGTGCAGGAAATGAGCTGGGGGACAC